AGTACTGGAGCCTCAGCTTCAAGATCTGTCCTTCCAGTGAGCACTCGGGGTTGATTTCCTTTAGAATTGATAGGTTTCCTTGCAGTGCAGGGGACTCTCAAGAGCCTCCTCCAGCACCACAATTCAAAAGCATCAATTCTTTGGCGGTCAGCCTTCTTTATGGTCCAGCTCTCACTTTATGGTCCAGATTTGAGGTTAGATCTAAGATTAGAGAGTGATGGATGAGACTGGAGAGAAGCATTGTTCCTAGATTATTCACATTCAACCTTCAGCTTCTTCTGGTAATACTATTGCTAGTCCCTATGCTAACAGGAGTTGATGGAAGATAAATATTCTCTAAGCATTAGACAGAATGTTTAATGGAACCAAACATACAGTAAAAGGAACAAGACTCTTGAGGCCTGCGGTGATATGAAAGGAAGACATGAAAACTTTGTCACTGATTATGGCTGTCACTGTGGTATATTCAAATGGCCAGGTGGACAGTAATGGAGATAATTATGTCATATTTCTTTTGCTTGTCCAGTAGACCTAAAGCAGTGAAGATAGAAAAATGTACAGTAGAAAAAGTACAGCCTGTAAACTATGGAAGATAAATATTCTCTAAGCATTAGACAGAATGTTTAATGGAACCATACATACAGTAAAAGGAACAAGACTCTTGAGGCCTGCGGTGATATGAAAGGAAGACATGAAAACTTTGTCACTGATTATGGCTGTCACTGTGGTATATTCAAATGGCCAGTGATGGAGATAATTATGTCATATTTCTTTTGCTTGTCCAGTAGACCTAAAGCAGTGAAGATAGAAAAATGTACAGTAGAAAAAGTACAGCCTGTAAACTTCCTACTCCATTTTTTTAGTGATCTAATAAAGGTATCGCCTCCTCTTTGCCCTCCAATACAATGAGTTTCTTTTGTACTGAGGGATGTGCTCTGAAAGAATTTAGTAGAAAATATATTCAAAATAAACCACATGTGGGTTACTGCAGAGGATCATTAATAGGCAGCATGTTAATTCTGGAGGGATTTGTGATTGTTGGAAGGAAAGACAAATAAAGATTGTGAGAAACACATCCTTTTGTCTCTTAAAAGAATTAACATTAGCTAACAGTTCGGTAATAGTGAATCCTTGTCACATTTAGCAATCCTACTTGGCTTTCATAAAAATATCAATAACCTCTGAACCTACTGTAGGATTAGTAGTGGGAAGTCTAAAATAACATTATCAAACAAAGCCAAGAACTCTTTTCTTCCATACTGGCCTAAAGTTAGGTTTCAAATAAAGCTGTGAAAGGACCCCGACATGAAACTATAATAACCAGGTATCTTTTCCTAAGAAATGTCTGATTTCTTTAAGCATGTGGTCAAGCTGAATTTTTCCCTTTCCTTGCCATTCTAAGCTTATTTTGCAATCCATCTGCAGGAATCAGATAGCCTTGAATGGTATAAAAAAAAATAAAGAGATTATGAAAGAATCAAATTCCTTAAACAGCAGGCTTCCTACCTATTTTTTAATTTTCTTTCAACAAGAAGTAAAAAAATAATAAGTCAGAACACATTAAAATTTCCTTTGTTGAAAACAACAACAACAACAAATTGACATTCCACCTCTATTATCTGGAAGAGAAATTAGAAATTAGCTTTACGTACAAATAATTATTTCTGCATATACATTTTCTATCATATTGTTTTTTCTGTGTTCCACCAGCCTTCAGCATGGAGATTCAGGTTTGTACATGGATGTTTAGGTTTCTTTGGCTGGTTGGGGTCCTGTTTGTCAACACATAAAGTAACATTACACTGGCATAAATATGCTGGGCTTTCTGCTCTGGCAACAAATCATTGGCACAATTAGTTGCACAGTTCTCATTTTGACCAGTTGGCTCAGTGCATCATTGGAAGTGCTTTGTGGTTAGCACTACTTCCTTGCCTGGATTGTATCTACCATGGGCATAATATCAAGTTACACCTCACAGTCATGCAATACAATTTCAGCTACTGTTATGCTACAGAGAAGGAACTAATGCCTACTGTTCATCTATCATATGCATAGCAATTTGTGTTTTGTGCTCTGTTCAGTCTCCCACGAACGAAGCTTAATACTAACTTGTCTTTACTGAATGAAGGAAGATCAGATTGATGGGGGTATAAGAGGTATATGCATGGACCACTCTTTCCTCATAATGTCTTTGTGCCCATGTGCTGAAGGAGAATGAGGACAAAGTACTCTCTCACGCTTAATAAGGATGTACTGCTGTACGTATGATCAGTTGTGTTGGTTTGTTACATGTTACGGCTAGATATAAACATGGTGCTAATTAACAGAACACTTGAAAAGATAGAATTAATATAACAGAAATAAAATTAGATCACTGTCTCTCATAGTGAGTAACATAGTGATGGGCTACATCAGTAGTGACAAAGAGAAGAGAAATATGAAATGCGGTTAAGACCTATTAAAACTAAAGGACATTTTTCCATTTACTTGATTGAGAGGTGCCTTGTATTTCTAATTAAGTATACAAAAACATTTGCAAGCTTACTTTAGTTTGTGACTGATATGCAAACAAATTGCAGTGCTGAATGTTAAAAGAATGGCAGTGTCATTTTCCTAAATACAGAAGAAACACTGTTCACTATGTATCGGCACTTTGTCTTTTTGTCCTCTGGGTGTAAATCAGCACCTTTGTGGACCCTTCAGCCACCTCTCATAGGACAAAGCACAGCAATTTGACAGGCAAAACTTATAGTAAATAGACTTATTATGGTGAAGCTGATGATGAACAGGCTTTTGAGGAAGAGGGATGGTGATCCGGTTTTTAAACTTTATCTCCAGGAAGACAAAAAACTCATATTCTACAGAAATAATGGTTCCAACAGATCTCCAGCACTGCTAGAGCATTAGTAAACAGTAGTTTTCTTGCCAGGAGGCGGCAGATTTTGGTTGCTTTACTGGGTCACTCACACCCTCATTTTAAAACAGCCCTCTGATTTGATGTTTACTTTCCTTGTGTAATTTAGAAATGGGATTTCCTTCTCCCTAGAGTGAGAAAGCTGCTGACATGGTGGACAACTAGGACAAGGAGTGTGTGCGTAGTGAGGCTGTAACATTCGTTAGATCAGTGAGAGAGACAAAAACCAAGGGGAGGTCGGTCCATCATCTGATGGAAAAAATGAAAGGCAGTTGTTGAGAGATAGTATTTGAGCAGCTGAAGAGAGGCCAGGTAGAGAAGAAAACCAGGAAGAATAAAGCAGATATACAGAACATGCCAGAGTGAGCGAGTAGTAGGATCAGAGTGAAAGTACTGTGAGAGAAACTGTTATTCAGCTAACATAAATTAGCTGCCATTGTGCTATGTTGCCAAGAATATAGTCCTCATTAAACTGTGCTACTGTTCTCCAGGTTGAAGCGGAAGAGGAGGATTTACTATTTGTGACTGATTAGATACTCTAGCTGGTAGAACTTCCGCTTGGTTATGTTCCTTGGGTGGAGGGTGGGGTAGGACTAGCAGTCAAAATAAATGCTGCAACTAAATATTTTTTATTTTTATTCTGTGGGTTTAATCCCACTCTAAGACATGGGATAATCCAGCTACATTTAAAAACATCAGCAAACATATGCAAGCTAATAATAGGGTAGGTAGTAATATTCCATAGGATCTTAAGGTAACACTGCTGGTTTAGTGGTGAATGAATGATACTGAACTAGTCTCAGGTCTACTTGTTGCTCTAAAAAAGGCAATAGAAGCAAACTGAAAGGAGAAAGAGGCACTCTCTCTACATGACTGGTTTCATTGAATCTGGAATATTGTCTTGGTAACTGAATCAACAAATTATATTAATTTCCACATGAAACCTTATTTGACGTATGACATTATGTTTTCTGGTATGACCTGGTTATGCCCAGGTTTGTTTGCTATACTGTTCTATCCATGGGCTGCCCTGTAATGCTCTTCAGAGACCATAACTATTGCATTTGAAAAATTAGCTGAAGTAAGATGCTTAGATCACATGATACCTCTTCTGTATGGTTGACCTTGACTACCTGTTTGTTTCCAGGCTGAATTCAAAGTGATTGTTTTGGTCTTTATAAGTCTAAGTGATCTGGGACCATGTTGTTTTATATTTTTACTGCTATTTTTCATGTTGTCACCCATAAGAACCCAACTTGTTTAGGTGTGTGTCTAAACATGCTTCTTCAGATAATAGAGTGGTCCTGTTTCTGGCGGAAATATAAAAGTTTATGAAAACTAGTTAGTCTCATAGGTGCTACAGTACTGTTTCTTATGTAGGTTATTCTTCAATAGACTAATATAGCTACCTGCTACCCTACTTTTTATAACCAAGTCATGTATCACAAACTAAACATTTGCATCTTTCTCACACATACCTTTTTTAGCAGATGGGAAAAAACGGATTAAAGTGCATGTATTTAGAAAAGTGCACAGTATTAATGTATTAAGTCAGAACAAGAGTAAACCCATTTGAATCAATGGAGTTTATTCCAAATCGCAGCTGATTCAATGGACATACTCCTAAGCTACAGGATTTTCAGCCACTGATTATCATGTAAGAAGGAATAGCAACATCTCCTAACCTCATGTGAGACGAGCATAGGAAGAAAATGCAGGTGGGATTAAAAGAAACACAATGTAAATGCTTACCAGTTCATTAAGAGACCCTAGACACACTCTGAGAATTCATTGTTCTACACGAAAATTCCAAAGATGTACATGGAGAAAGCAAGAATTCCCTCTTGTTTTTTTTTCAGATAAATTGGATAGGTTTCAGATTTCTCTTTTGTAAATAGTGGAAAGTAACACTATTAAGTTCTGGAATAATATTTCAGAAAGTCATCACTGTATGATCTGTGAATGTTAATGAACTTCAGTCAGAGATCCCTTCTTGGTTTATTCCATTGGTCTACCAGCAACAAATCATAATAATTTTCTCTAGTAATTATACTAAATTCATCTCCTTTAATAACTTTCCTTGCAGAATTGCTACCAAAGTGCCAGCAAATGGAGTGCCAGTACAAATGTGCTATATCCAGGGATGGAATTGGATGCTACTGCAAAGAAGGATATGAAGTTGGCATAGATGGGAGAATCTGCCAAGGTAAACTAAGCTACATTGTCCCATCAAAGCACTTCAGCTAAAATATACAGGGAGAGTCTAAACTTGGTTTCAGAAGATCTTGTAGCTGTTCCAGATCTATAGACTCTGATATGAAAAGTCATTGTGTTGCTGAAAAAATAATATTTTTATAGAACAGATAGAATTAAATATTGGGCAAGATGTTGAACAAGTTATTGATCAAAAGGAAAATTACTTTGGCTCAGACGTGTTAGGAGAGATCTGAATGTGGGGCTGTTCTCTACACCAGCTGGGTAAAAGATTCTGAAAAGCTTATTCATGCTGGAGCAAAGGAATTAACAATTCTTTCTTTTTGTGGAACCACTGCTGTCACTTTGTAGCAGATTAGCCAGATTCTTTGTCAGGTAGTGAAAAGCTATTGTTTAAAATTATATGACTGAACATTGTTGAATAGAAATGTGGAATTTGACAGATCATAGGAATAGTGAGGCATAAAATGCTAGAGACACGTTAGACAGCAGGCACATTGCTGGAAGAAACTAAAAGGTTATTCTACGTGATAAGTTTTAAGTAGAATATGAACACATTACACCAGCAACTCCATTCTGGATCACCATGTTCCAGAGCAGAGTGTGACATAAAGAGAAACAGGTTGCACAATTTTCCACCCAAGTGTGATGAAGAAACAAAGATTTTCAAGGGTCGTGGGCCCAAGACTGCTGGGTGGGAAAGAAAAACAGAATCCTTAGCTCCAAGTAACCTAACCAATGATTCACTCTGATAATTATATCAGCATATTCTCTAGTGTTTCTTCATATATTAAACAAGGCATACAAGAAATTGTATATGTGGAGGAATTACTTTTTCTTTAAAGAAGACATTTACAATCCACCACATTTCATCCAGAATTACTTAGATAAAAAGATGCCCTTATATTTTTGTTTTTGAGGAAGAACACACTAAGAACAGATACCTCTTTGAATTCATGATTCCTGTGAACCATATATGAGGAATCCATTACAATAAAATGAAACCCTGCACGTCTTGTTCATTTAGATTTTTCTCTACTGGTTGAGCCAAGTTTTGTACATAACATTACCGATTTCAGCTACATGTATGTGGCTTGAGACTTGAAATTGTTTTTTTTTAGCAAATGAAGTTTAGACGAAAGAAGCTTAGCTCTGTATACAAATATCTCTGTTACTTTTGTATTTCAATGATGAAAAAAGATTACTGTTCCTTCTAGATTTAAATGAATGTAATCTGTATGGGATTTGTAGCCAAACTTGTGGAAACACCAATGGATCATATATCTGCAGCTGTGTGGAGGGTTATCTTCTTCAGCCAAACAAAAAATCATGCAAAGTTAAAAGAGGTAAGAAGAAACTTTTTGCAACTTTCACCAGTAATTAATTATGTTCTTTGGATTTTTCTTTCTCTTCAGAAGAGAAATATTTGTCTATTTGCTGCATATGAAGAGCTTTGAAAATTACCTCTGGATAATAATTAGTACAGTATTATACTTCAAATGTTCAAGAAAAAAAATGTCAATATTGTAGTTGCATCTATTTTAAACAAAGAACTTTTTACTTTCCTGTTTCTCAAAAAATAACCAGAACAGTGCTCCTCCCCCTGCTCTCAGTCTCTCTGTCTTTATATATATAGGAAGAGAGCGCATTTATATATATACTGTATAAATGCGCTCTCTTCCTAGCCGCCTTTTTGTTGCCTTAACAAAGAGAACCATCAAGAATTAGGTACCAGGACAAGGCAAGCTGGAGCCAGCTTTTGAACCATGTGATATTCCTCTTCTACATACCATTTAGTGAGGTCGCACTCTCAGAGGTGTAAAGGTAACCAAAACCTTACAATTAAACTGGGAAAAAGAAGTATCCCTAATTGTTGTTATGTGCCATTACATTTGCCTCTGACCTACAGCAACTGTGTAAATTAAACAATCTCCAAAAGATTCTGCCATTAATTGCCCTTATCAGGCATAACCAAATTGAGGATGTGCCTGCTTTTATTGAGTCTATCTATTTCATATTTAGCATCCTCCTTTTCCTGCTGCTTTCAACTGTCCTTATTATTGTTCTCTTTTCCTGGGAGTCTTGTCTTCTCATGATGTGCCTAAAGTATGATGTTTAGTCTTTTTTTCCCTTCTAGAGAGGTTTCAGAGGTAACTGGATCCACTAGCACCTTCTTATTTGCCTCTCTGCTGTTCCACAGTATCCCTAAAGCTTTCCTCTAGCACCATATTTCACATCCTTTCAAAATAATTCAGAATACCTTAATTGGGATCACAGCAATCCCAGTTACCCTTTTGGTAATGAAGTGATAAGTGGTATTGAAGAGATCCTCATTAAAATTAAAATTTTAATATAAGCTGGGTGTGCCTTAGTTATTGGAAAAGAGAACTGATTACTTGCAACTACATGATGCATTATGAAAAAAAGGAAATGCTTTTTTCCATTTAACAACATACTTGAATACTGAAAAACTTGAAGAGAACATTCACTGTGGCATAGATCTCACTCTCCTTGCAAACAGAAAACTAGGGATGCGCACTAGCACCAAAATCTGGATTCGGAATTCCTATTCAGACCCCTCAGTACTAACCAGACGTTCTTCTCTTGCTGCTGCTTCATGTGATAAAAGGGGGGCAATGCTGAATATCACCGCAGTACCCACTTAATTTGCCAGCAGCAATGCTGTTTTGAGTCTTCAAGTGGCTGAGCATGCTAATATTGGAGAGGTGGCCTCAAGTGCTGACCACACATTAGCACGTTCTTGCAATGCATGCACTCAGCCATGTGACCATCTTTTGTACACTGTTGTCAATAATCTAGAAGCATTTTCATGTTGGAAGCTCCAGTTTTTGGCAGGATGTTCTTAACAGGGATTGCTAACTTCGCATCACTAATGATTCTGGCAACTGTGGGGTAAGTGCAGCTGGAAGGCAGGGGTGATTTCAGGGCCACACGCCTCTGAAATAGCAACCCCCCCGAATCTCCTCCCTTGGGAAACCCATGGCACCCCCAATCAGACAATTTTGAATTCTCTGCCCCCACTACCATTCATGCCAGGATTTCATTTCTTAAGGAATCACTCCAGGGTGCCTGAGAAATAGGTGGCCCTTTCATGACTTCCTCCAGTAAGCAGAAACCTAACCCTTTGTTTTCCAACATATGGGAGTAAATTGTACTCCAAATATTAGGAATTATTAAAACATATGTTCAAATTATCAAATTGGGATTTGGATTTTTATTTTATTTTTTGAACTATCCGAATAAAGCATTATTTGGAGAATTTGAAATATTTCTGAATCTGAATGCAGATCCTTACAGAAAACCAACACAGAAACAGATAGCTGATTAGAACATTTACCAAAGTATTTGAGGAAAGGTTATGTATTAGTCAAACACCATTTGGAAAACGTTTAACTAATGCAAGTGGACAGTTCCCCTCAGTCAAGGTTTGTAAAGCTGCCAGTTTTATTCTTCTCCTAAATCTCTTGTGATATTTCCCCTCGCATGCAGATGAATGTTTGTAATAATTTAAGACATCTTAAATGAAATTATCAGAAGGGGATTTTTTTTTCCTTTGGCCTTCCCTCCAGTCAATTAAGTCTTTCTCTCTCTCTCTCTCTCTTTTTTTTTTTTTGGCTCTTCCATCTTGGTAATCCTCTCTTTAAATTAATTGTTTTAAATTGAAATTTGTAATTTTATGATTTTATACATTTTTATACTGTTTTATACTGTTTTATTTTGTAAGCCGCCCCGAGTAGACATGGTCTAGAGGGGCGGGGTAAAAATCAAATAAATAAATAAATAAAATATAAAGACCTAAGCCTCTGCCTTGCGCCTGGAACAATCCTACAAGGACTGATTTCACAATATTACTAATATACCTTTTTAGATAATGAATGCATATTTTCATTACTAATAACAAACTAAACATTTAAGGGAATTAGCAGGTTTGATTTAATGAAACCAAATTCAAGAAAAGATTTCCCTAGTCAATGCACAGGTTATTTAGGAAACCTCCCACTCTGTAATCTGATCATTATCAGGATGAATAAAGACCAAATACAGGGGTGTGTATTATATTCATTATAAAACCTGTTATAAAAACATGGTTGGGAATTGGACCTGTTATACCTGTTATAAGTATGAAAAATAAAAAGCAACGTAGCAGTTTTAGTATGGTGCCAAGAGCCTGTGATTGCAGGACAAAATAAATAAAAGTTTTTTGTTTGTTTTTCAAACTTATTTCTCATGAACAAAGTATTACAGATCGAGAAGAGAGAACCAATTAGAGAGGGTTTCATACTCTTACAGAAACTTACACTGTAGAAAAGTATAATGAATGTAGCATTGGGGAAATGTGTGCTCCTAATATCAGGCAAATGTGTGCAGCATAGAATGATTAAAGGTATTGATAAGTCCAAGATGTAAGACTTGTTTAGATTTCGTATTGATCCACAAAGCATAGGAATAGATTTGAAGCACAATAATATGACATAAAAAGAGTTATGCAGCAAAAATCCATATTAATGTTTTTCACCTGTCATTTCCCAAGAATGTCATTTTAGTAGGATTTAGTAGGCATCACTGTTGTTGCAGTAACGTAAAATATTCACAGTTCACAATGATGTACAGATAAGCACAAACTCACTTGCTTTGCTCTAACACAGTATTATTAATGCGAGAGTGTCAGAATGTTGGGCAAATTCGGGGGGGGAGAGAATTGAATTCAGACGTGTGGGCTCACTAGAAGAGTTGATGATTTCATATTTAGAAAGAATATACTGTATTCTTAAGAGGAAAAGACTATCTGGTTTTTTTAGCAGGCGCTTGTTATCATCATCAGTTGGGCAAAATAGTTTGTGTTTGTTGGTCAGCTGCAACATGGCATGGATTTGTTTGTGCAGGTCACATAGATGTGAAATATTTTCTAGTCTGGAGGTTTACATTGTGAAAAAAGGAAATACTGTTATGTATTTCCCTTGACATATGATCTGATCATTGTACTCAATTACCAGAAGTAAGTTCTGGCTTCCATTGGAATCATCTCCTCCCCACACCTGCTCCCTACACCTGGTGCCATCTTTTATCTTCCCTTCCTATTTGGCTCCTTCTTTCCTTCCTTTCTCCCTCCCTTCCTTCTGTTTAGAGGCTTGCTAATCTAGCCCTGAGGCAGTTGAGTGACCAAAATACTCAACTGCCTCAGGGCAGAATAGGAGGGAATGTTTTAAGGCAGGACTCTCTAACTGTACCTCCTGCAAATCTGGACAGCCAGAGCAGAGCAGAGCTACTTTATTAAGTTGGAAGGTCCATGTTGCCTTGAAGAAGACAGTGATGAGCAAATTTAGACCCATCATTTGGGATAATTACTGCCCAGTGTTTCTGGTCTTGGTCAGGGTGCTGGGGCATGTAATTGAGGGTCAGTTATTCAGATCCATTCCAATATTGTTTCAGAACTAGTTTTGGGTCTGAAGCCGATCCAATCAGCTTGGCAGGTATCTGAAACTGTAGATGACAGGAATTGTAAACCTGTTGGTTTTCCTTGACCTCCTGAACGCTTTCAATGGCATCAATCATGCCTATGCAGATTTGGCTTTAGAGGTATAATATGTGTGTTTCAGTCCTTTCTGGATATTTTTTCTAGGAAGATGGTTTGGAAGATTGCTACCCTTCTTCATTGCCATTGGCAGTGAGATACCCCAAGTTTCTATCTTATTCTTTTATACTTTTGAATATCTACATGAAAGTACTGGATTAAGTTATTTGAAGCTAGTAATGGATGGTGTCAGCTATTCATCCTAGGAAGACTGTGGAACCAGCATCTGACAAGAATTTGAGAAGGGATAGGAATGAGCCTTCTGAAACTTACTGCAGATGAAGCACAGATACTGTGGGCAGAGAAACTAATTACAGTGGATAGAGTTTAGATGGGGTGGTACAACTGAGAAACCAAATAAACAGTTGAAGATTCTCTGGAAACCAGCTGTAGCGGTATGAAGTCAAGATGATGACATGCTCTGTTTATCAGATTTATCCCATTAAGTTAGAAGACCAAGTGTAATTCTATATGGAAGGGGCATATACTGTACCTTCCATTGTGTATGTTGTATTACAGCCTTCCCAACATGGTTGTCTTAATGTTTTACGGTATGACTTGCACCACCTCAATAAGCCATGCTATTGGGGGCTGGTGGGAGTTCTCTAAAACAACTGGAAGGCACCAGGTTGTAGAAAACAACTGTAGTAGCATCTGGAATGAATTATTGTAAAGAATCTACATGGGCTGCTTTCAAAGAGGGTTCAGAAACTTCAGATGTGACAGCTATCAAATACTGGTAGGTAATTGGTT